TGTGGGAACCGACGCACCTTAACCTAATCCTAACCAACAACCCCACAAATTGGTGACCCCGATATCGCTCTATCTCGCTCAACGATGACGGACACACAAGGAGGAAACACAGAAGAACGCTCGCAAATCAACAGGGTGGCTTTAAAAGTACCTCTTTTCTGGACAGACGAACCCGAATTATGGTTCGCGCAGCTTGAAGCTCAATTTACACTAGGAAACATAACGCAAGACAGCACTAAATACGCTTACGTCTTGGCACACCTAGAAACTAAGCAGGCCAAAGAAGTTAAGGACCTGATAATGAAGCCTCCTGAAGAAAATAAATATAAGAGCATCAAAAAGGCATTAATACAACGCCTATCGATCTCTCAGGAACAACAACTTCGCCAGCTCTTGGAACACGAAGAAATGGGCGATCGAAAACCTTCGCAATTCCTGCGGCACCTACAGGCTTTGGCCAGCACGGCCATTCCGGAGCAGCTCTTGCGTACATTATGGATGGGCAGATTACCATCCCAGCTACAGGCTATCTTAGCCATACGAAACGCCGACAACCTACAGGACGTTGCCGAGCAAGCCGACCGAATACATGAGGTCACTTGCAGAACTGTAGCAGTCGCCAGCGTACAGTCGCCAACACTAAGCTCTCCAATGGAAAAACGAATCGACGGACTGACTAAGGCGCTAGAAGAGCTAGAAAACCGGCTATCTCATTCCAGGAGCAGAATCTGGAACTAAAATTAACAGATGACAGCATCCAGTCATCACTACAAATACCTAGCTCAACTACTGTGACATTCCGACACCAGTCGCACGCCCCTACATGACAGAATCATGTAGTAGGTTTTCCCAAACCTGCATGATTTGTCACATCCGGCTCTACCTACGACTGTCGGAAAAGGACACAAAACACACCTCAGAAGCCAAGGTATTCAAGCAAACAATCACCAGCTAAGATGGTCCACTGAGAATCTATCCGATTACCCGGACAATTCCTCAAGAGACCTGCACAAAACAGCACGGCACGGAAGGTTTCGCAGCACGACTTATGAGAAACCTGCAACCTACATTCTGGAGCAAGAAGAGCCAGAGCCAGCACAGCCGTCAACAGGGACCACACAACTTCCGAAGAGCCACAGCAACAGCAACGGACGAGAAGCGGACGAATATCACGTCCACCAGTCCGTTTCCAGGAACTCTAATACAACCAAGGGGGTTATGTGGCGGTCAGCTGTCCGCCACAACGCGCGACGGTGCACGCGCGACGACGGCAGTAAGACGGGAGGCGCGCGGCGCGAGCAGCGGCACGATATCGATCGGCCGGGCAGTTCAACGCGCGCCCGCTACGCGGCGCATCGCCGGTCGATTCTCTCGTAAGTAAGGTTCGACATCGATCCTTATATAAAGGGCAGCTCAGCAGGACCTCTCCAGCGATCAGCTCACCAGTCAGGGTGTGCTATTATCAAGGCCCCT